ATACTTGTATCTATAAAAAATAACGTTAAACATAAAAATGTCTTTAATAAATAAATTGTCGGACTTTGTCCATTTCTTAATATATATATATATATATATATATATATATATATATATATATATATATATATATTTTTTTCTGAAAATTTAAGAGACCGCGTTTTTTACTAATATGGTAATTTGAGAATTTTTTTCTTGTAGGAGTTTATCACTCAATGTGGCATGAACTACACCACATATTTGATTTAGAAGAACTGATCCGACATGCAAGTTTTTGGGATAACAGTTGATATATATATATATATATATATATATATATATATATATAATTTAAGGTTCCATGTAATAAATTATTTCACCACAGCCCTTTTAAAAGGACTGCGGATCATCAGACTTTACTTCCAAACAAAAAATGAAAAGAAAATTTACACATTTTTGACGGGCCGTATTAAACATATGTAAATTAACGAAGTGAGGAAGTGAGGGGTAGAGAGAGAAGACATGAGTGAGTTAGCAGATATTGACACATTTAAACGGTTAACTTAACGGAAGTTATATATTGATATCGAAGGGGTAGAGAAGAAAAAAAACCATAGACAGAAAAAGAGAAAAGGAAGTTATGAGAGAAGATGTCACTAATTTTCTTTGTACAAAAAGGCTAGAAACAGACGCTGTTATTTTGTTTTACTTTGAAAGTGTTATTTTGGGGGTTCATAAAGATTATAATGTTTGATATAAATTTGAATGTCTCTAAACTGTCTACAAATAATTTAATTTGATGTTTGTTAGTGATTTAAATTTTTTTAAAATTTTGGGGATTTTCTATATAGTCGATTAGAAAAATATTCATAGAAAGTACAAAATTTTATTTTAAAATATAAGTTTACTTCTAGTAATCTTTTTTTAAATCTCTTTAGAAAAAGTTATTATTGATTATTAAGTTGACATCTCTATCCGTTTGAATTTTGTTCATGAATTTAACTCGTGACTGTTTCTAGATAGGTAATATCTTTTACTTAAATTTTAGTTAAGTTAATATGGGGTAATATTTGAAGGTAATATTAAAGATCTTGCTCTGTCATATACTGTATACACACCCATGCAAATATCACATATACACACGTTATATCTATCTATCTATCTATCTATCTATCTATCTATCTATCTATCTATATGATTTTTTTCCGTTCAGTTTGCGGTTATACATGGCAGGACAAAATCTCTAACCCTGATCTTTTAATCAAATGTGGCATCGGTGGTATCGAATCCTTTCTGATGCTATCACAACCCAGATGAGCTGGTCATGTCATAAGAATGAGTAATGATCGGATGCCAAAAAATCCTCATGTATAGCCAACGTAATGTCGGCCGTCCTTGCTTACGTTTCAAGGAAAAAAAATACAACCTAAATGCTGCAAACATCCCTATAGATGAGTTTGAACTTGCTGTTGAAAACGGAGCAAACTGGAGAAACATCTGCTACCAAGGTATAACTAGATTCGAAAAGAATCGTCTCAATCATCTGAGAGAATTAAGAATTAACACTAAATCTCGGGTTAATACATTAAATCATATGACGGTTAACCCTTTAGTAAGTCCCTCGTGTGGATTTGTTTGCAAATCCCGTGCAGGATTGTTGTTCATACGAGACATAAACATAAAAACTGAACTGAAAGATACTTATACGTCAAAATATATATATATATATATATATATATATATATATATATATATATATATATATATATATAGTGATCAATATATATATATATATATATATATATATATATATATATATATTCCCAAGAGGATAGAATCCAGGTAGAACTCAATGTCCAGGACAGAGTAAGGATATAATATATATTTTCCGATTTCTTTTTTTTGAATTTGTAGGTCTGATAAATTATAACCATGGAATATTAGTGTTTGAGCCTTATATATATATATATATATATATATATATATATATATATATATATATATAAAAAACGATCTAGGCAAATCACATTCGTTTTAATATATTTTATTTACTTGAACGTATAAGAAAAGCCTGATAATTTCTTGTTCAATAAATTGTGCGTAACTTATTTTACAGTAACTAGATACCCTCCAATTATATAAGAGACATAAAAACTATATATATATATATATATATATATATATATATATATATATATATATATATATATATATATAGCAAAGTACTGGTAGCTCGAGCGAGCAGTCGCCCGGGGCACTATCAAAGCCGAAGGTGTCATCATGCCGCAATGCCATGTGTTTGAGATCTTTCAAAAGTAAACCTTTTAAAAACATGCATGCTGTCGTCTATGACTCAAGAGAGATTAATTTCTTTGCCTATTTTGTCAATAGAATATGATCTTGTAAAGGAGATAGGTATAGAAAATGTCATGAAAAGATTTGCAGATATAAAGGCTAGAGAAAAAAATTTAGATATGATAATGAATGCTTTCATTACTTCGTATTAAGTTATATATTGTATCGTTATTCTACGAAGACGAATATTTCAGAATCTTTGGACGTCAATCTGAGGACAAAATGGAGGATTCGGAAAGATTTGGATGAGTATAATCGTGATTAAAAAAAGTGTTGAAGTGACCCCTAGTGATGGCGACGTTCTGCCATCATTTATATTCCCACAAGTGCTCAGACTCAACAATGAGGCCGACATCAAGTGACTAGAAGAGGTAGTGTTGTCCTGGGCCAGGAAGGGACTGCTGGAAAACATTGTCTGGTAGCAGGGCTCTGCACCGTTCAACACAAACAGGAATCATGTCTGTCAGACAATTTCCGCGGGCATATCATACCTTGCATCTGGCCACATAACTCCCCAGACTACAACCCCTTGATGATGATGTGTGGGGCGCAGTTGAGCATCAAAAATTCCTTGTAACATCAAAGAACTAACGTCCAGTATTATGGCAGCACTTACCAACTTAAACAAGGAGACCGTCCAGAAGAAATGCAGGAGGTTCCGAAATCGTTTGGAGATTGTGGCTGAAGGTAATAGCGATTTTATTCAATTAATTTACTCTTTACTATTTCACGATATTTTTGTGTAATTTATATCTGGTAAAAGGTCAATGTTATTTTCAGTTTTTTCGTAATTTCGACAATTTATCCATCGCACCATATATATATATATATATATATATATATATATATATGATGGTTGCGTCCAGTATGAAACAGCCTGTCGCCTCTGAGTGTTGACTTCAATCTGATATATATATATATATATATATATATATATATATATATATATATATATATATATATATATATATATATTTCCGTTGAGCTCTCTGGGGAAGATGTTTATCTAAAAATAAATAGGCTTAAATTTGCCTTCATTCCCGCCTTGCACCAACGGCTTAGGAGTAGATTCTTCGATTGACCCCAATTCAGCCGGATTTCGTTCCAAGCTAGAGGGAACAGAACGTCTAGCCACGAAACAGTCTGTCTGTGGATGACAATACACACACACACACACACACACACATATATATATATATATATATATATATATATATATATATATATATATATATATCACTTATATGATTGATGTTATATGCTCCTCCGACTCCAGAGTTTCGTAGATGAACATTTTTGTAATCAGAAGGTTTCAGCAATAATTTATGCGCTTTTTATTCGTGTTAGGATATATATATATATATATATATATATATATATATATATATATATATACACACACACACACACACACACACATATATATATATATATATATATATATATAATATGAAAAGTGTCATCATATAATTTGCATGTAATCTACTTACTTTCTTGTTACTTCTTTGAAGAATATTGAAACAATGATAATTGATGTTTTAATTCTTTATTGAATATAAAAAGAATAAAAGAATAAAGAAACCTCAATATTGTTATATTTAGAAAGCAATTTCGTTAATTTTTAGAAACTTTGATTTCAATCTGTAAATGAAAACTTGTCTGATGGAATATTAAACTGTATTGCCATATGATATAATGGAATATGCTTATACCTGTGTTCCCCCTCACTGGAATATGATTGGCTGGTGTCCGTCATAAATACCGACGGATGTGTAGGAGAGTCAAAAAGAGCCTTAGTCTGAGAGCTAAGTCTATAACGACGCCCATTGGACTACGCCATTGATCTACACTTCTTAACTGCGACTACGACGCGTACCAGTCGATTACTGCTACTGTATTCTACTTGGTTATAGTAGCCAAAACCACTTAGCTACTTCGTTCAAATATATCCCTTTCTGGGACATATCAGTATATGACGTCAGAGCAAAGAAATAATGAGAAAAGGAAGAAGGAAAGAAAGAAAGGAAACATCAAAAGAAAATCAACTCTTTTTGTATTATTTAAAACGGAAACATTTTGGATTGTAAAAATAATTTTTTTGCAAGTGAATATTGCAATAACATTTTTTTCTGAGAATAAAATAAAGAAAATAAAGTAAAAATAAAACAAATAAAATGAAATAAAATTTAAAAAATAAATTCCCGATACAAGTCATACTATGTAACCTATAGCTGGGGAGAGAGATGAGATGGATCTGTACAAATTATTCAACACTACGAGAAGCTGACCAAAAGTCATAATAGGCTTTTCTCATCCGTTCTAGTGTAAATAAAACATGTTAAAATGAAGGTTTGTAGTTTAGATGAGATGATAGAAAGAAAAGAAAGTAAGAAAAGGAAAGAAAAAATTAAATGTCAAAAGAAAGAAAACAAATGAAAGAAAGATATGTTTGAGATAAAGAGAAAGAAAAGGAGAAAGAAATGAGCTAACAAAAATCACCGAAGAGATAAGAAATCAATATATAAATAATATAGCGTGGAAAAAGAAAGTAACAATAAATGAAAATAGGAAAAAAAAAAGAAGGAAAAATTTAGTGAGATAAAAGAGAAAGGGAAAAATAAATATAAACGAAAAGGTGGGGGAAATTGTAAGCAAAATATGACATTTCATGAAAGAAAATAAAAATGACGGGTAAAGGAAAGTAAATGAAAGAAGGAGAAAATGAAGAAAGAATTACCTAGAAGAAGAAAGAAAGAAAGAAAGATGGGAAGAGACGGAAAGAAAGAAAGAAATAAAGAAAGAAAGAAAGAAAGATGGGAAGAGAGATAAATAAATAAATAAATAAATAAATAAATAAAGAAAAAAAGATGGGAAGAGAGGGAAAGAAAGAAATAAAGAAAGAAAGATGGGAAGAGACGGAAAGAAAGAAAGAAAGAAAGAAAGATGGGAAGAGAGGGAAATAAATAAATAAATAAATAAAGAAAGAAAGAAAGAAAGATGGGAAGAGAGGGAAATAAATAAATAAATAAATAAATAAAGAAAGAAACGGAAAGAAAGAAAGAAAGAAAGAAAAAAGAAAGAAAGAAATAAAGAAAGAAAAATAAATAAAAAATAAATAAAGAAAGAAAGAAAAGAAAGAAAGGGAAATAAATAAATAAATAAATAAAGAAAGAAAGAAAAGAAATAAAGAAAGAAAGATGGAAGAGAGGGAAAGAAAGAAATAAAGAAAGAAAGATGGGAAGAGAGGAAAGAAAGAAATAAAGAAAGAAAGATGGGAAGAGAGGAAAGAAAGAAAGAAAGAAAGAAAGAAATGGAAGAAAGGAAAGAAAGAAATAAAGAAAGAAAGATGGGAAGAAACGGAAAGAAAGAAAGATGGGAAGAGACGGAAAGAAAGAAAGAAAGAAAGAAAGAAAGAAAGAAAGAAAGAAAGAAAGAAAGAAAGAAGGGAAGGCAGAAAGATACTAAAAGAAGATAAAAGTTTTTACTTGGATAAATATAAAAGAAAAAAGACAGTAATAAACTTAGCTATGAGAGAAAGAACACACGAAAGAAAGAAAGAAAGAAAGAAAGAAAGAAAGAAAGAAAAAAAGAAAGGAAAGAAAGAAAAAAGAAAAGAAAAAAGAAAAGAAAGAATTGAAATAAAAGAAATAAATAAAAGAAACCAAGAAAAAAATGAAATAAAAAGAAAGAAAATTAAAGAAAGAAAAAATAAAGAAAGAAAGAAAAAGAAAGAAAGAATGAAAAATGAAAAGAAAAGAAAATAAATAAATAAAAAGAAAAGAAATAAAATAACAGAGAAGAAAGAAAAAGGAAAGAAACAAAAAATAAAGAAAAAGAAAAGAAAAAAAAAATAAAGACAATAAAAGAAAGAAAGAAAGGAAGGAAGGAAGGAAGGAAGGAAGGAAGGAAGGAAGGAAGGAAGGAAGGAAGGAAGGAAGGAAGGAAAAGACAGTGTAAGAAATGATTTCGGAGTTGAAGATATAGTTACAAGAAAAGCTGAATGAAAGTAACCCCCCAAAAAATAAAGACATAAAAATATTAACAAACAGACAAACAAATTCTCATGTTTTAAAAGCAAGGCGACAATACGGGAGTGGAGTTTTTTAAGTGTAACATGACAGACGAGACCGAAAAGAAATTGTTTCTGATTGGTTTGTTAAGTTTACCTGGACAACACATGCAGGGACTTACAGGTAGATCTTCGTAACCTGCTTGTGAAACGATAGCGTACGGACATTGCACTGGCCGACAGTACAAAGACACATCCACGCCACGTCTTGAAATTAATCCGCCACTTGTAAAATAGTGCATTGGCTCTGACTATAAAAGCAACGCTGACATATTTTAAACGTAACAACGCTTCGGTTCAGCAGTAAGAACTTTGCTAAATGCGTATTTTTATTTCACTTAAGTCCTTTTTATATTTTATTTATCAAAAATGTTAAAATCGAGTCTAGGATGTAAGCTCATAAAATTATATTCTTTATTTTAATTATTTTTTTTTTTACATATTTAGAGCTTCATAAATTCAGAGCAAGAAAAAATAATCTGTAGAAATGAGAAACAAAATAATTATACAATCTGACAATTGAAATTAAGCCTTTTAGTAGATAATATACAAGCAAAATATTTTATGTTTATTCGATATTTATTTTTTTACTGTGTTCATGTGGAAGGTTCAAGCTGAATTAAAAAAAAAACCCAAAAAACAAACAAACATATTCATCCAAATTAAAATCTTCATTCGGAATTTTACATCCAAAAAGGAGAAAGGCGAAAAGCAAATCGATGTCAACCTGAACAGAGTTTTTAAATCGGCATTAATTTTATTTTTAAGTCGTGAGACTCGTTAATGAAATTAGAACGACGACGTTATTCTGACAACCAAACCGAGGACATTGTTAAAGAAACTGAAAAAAGAAGAAGAAAAAGAAAAAGAAAAAAAGATTCCCTGGTTTCTTTTAGTTAACTTTTTTTTTTTTTTTTGCGAAGACTTTTGCTAAGAAGCGGTCATAGCTTAACGGAAGAATTGGATATATTTTCTTTGCGACGTACAATTTCCAGCAACATATTCGAAGAGAAACATTTACGTCTGAACCATTTCTTTTTTTTTGGTTGTTTTGTTTTGAAACATTAAAAAAAAAAAAAAAAAAAAAAAGCGGAAGCTCAACGATGAGCAAGAGTCTTGTTTCCGGAAGGGGAATTCAAAATCAAATGGAACATCGGCACCTTGGTGTGAAGACGCTGCAGCCCATTCCAACATTGTGGTAAGTGTCAAGAAAAAAAAAAAAAAATCTTGGGTTCATATTGCCCCGCAGGTTTCCTAGTGGCGGGAATCGACGTTTATTCGTGTGACTTTTACTACTCTTGCCATCCGCAAAGGTCGTCAGACGGCTACATTTTCACTCCAAACCAAAAACAATCACATAAAAATAACGCAAACATCAAACATGAAAACATCTCCCCCTTCTTCTCTCTCCCCCATGCATACACATACAATGATCTTGAAAGTAATTGCACGGCCGTGCGAGTGATGAATTTATTTTTCTTTCTTCAACCCCTTTTCCCACACACGAAACTTTGGAAGCCTATCGCTGCCATGTCGGTATTTTCATGACAGATATTATGTTCCCGCGAACTTCATTCCTTAGTTCCACCAGTTCATTCCTTCACAGCTAGAACCCACCGTGTCACATAAACCTTGTCGACTCATCCTCATTCAATTCATATTCCATTGGTGAGGAAGAAGTTTCCCAGAACTGTTGGAGTATGGAACGGACTCACCAGATTGTACTTTTCCGATCGCTATCAATTTAACTTTTTCGTTAAGTGTTATCTATCCTACATATTCTTATAATATTGCGACCACACTCTACACCCTTACAATATCCCCATTTAGTAATCCTCTACCTTGAGTGGCTCTCGGGTCTTTTATTGGGGGAACAATAGTAAAAACAAACACTAAAAAGTGCGAATTATTTGTATTTATTGATGTTTGGTTTAGTTTGTTTTACGGCATATCAACCTTAATGGGTTATTTTATGCCGACAAAATTTTTTATTGCTGTTTATTTTGTTTTCTCAAAAATCTGTTTCTGGTAATATTTTTCCTTCAAAAATGTATTGCTGGTAATAATTTTTTTTTCAAAAGAGTATTGCTGGTAATATTTTTTTTTCAAAAATGTATTGCTGGTAATAGTTAACTATTTGCCCATAGCTGGGGCCCTAACAGGTGCTACCACACCGGGCCAGGGAAGACCTTGGAACACCAGCAATTAAGGTGTGGTTCCACGCTCCTCAAAACCTCCTGATCAGAGGCCTTGCTGCTGGACGTAGTTTAATCGTCATACCCAGGACGATTTTTTTTTATGTATAACATACTAGTGTTTTAATTTAGGGTTGCTTATGGACCATCCTGGTTATCAAGGTTGTTCGTATGGGAATCCGTCACATAAATTCCGTCAGCTGATCCAATCGTTTTAGAGGAGAAGAGGCAAATGTTAGCACATTATAGGGCGAGGAAACGGTACATAGACACCATTACCACCACCACAACCATCAGACTACACTACACTACACACACGAATTTCTTAACTAGGAGAGAAAGAAAGAAAAGAGAGAGAGAGAGAGAGAGAGAGAGAGAGAGAGAGAGAGAGAGGAGGGTATCTCATATTTTATTATTCAGAGGCTTCTCCCGAATCAATGTCACCACCAAGGTCTGTCCTTAAAAAAATTAAAAGATAAATGAAGTATACATTAACAGGCAAGCTTTCAAAAAACAAATAGGCACGTCCTCAGAGAGAGAGAGAGAGAGAGAGAGAGAGAGACAGACAGACAGACAGACAGAGACAGAGACAGATATAGGCAGATTGATGTACGTATGTATAGTGTGTGCATTTATAGACGGATGATGAATAGACTGAAACAGATATAAGTCTGGGCTATCTATATATATTTTTTTTTTTTTTAGTTCAATTCTCCTGCTTGTAACACATTGTTCACACGACTAGCTCTTTAAGAATAATTTTAACTAACCATTTGTACAATCTTAGTTCGATAAGGAGGCACTTAATTCACATCCGAGAATGTCGAACCCATAAGAAAAATCATTTTAGATAATATTGTCATTTAAGAAAAAAATCAAGCTGTAAAAGATACTTAAAATTAAGAATTTAAGAGAATTTCTCCTAAAAAAAGACATATAAACGGACACTAAATATCACTTGCTTTGACGGTCTTTTGAATACTACTCTAATATATATATATATATATATATATATATATATATATATATATATATATGAAGCAATTTTTCATTAATGCATGTTTCATTAAATAATATATACAAATTTTGTCTATTTATTTTAAGTAAGTTCCTTTCATATTGACTGATAGGCTTGATAACCTTATCATTGAAAGACGAAAGGAAATCACCATATTGATAAATACTTTTTTAATCCTATCTAAGCTTTTGGCTTACAAAGATGACAATTACATTTCAATATATCAAACAATACCCGAACGAAACAATAATGATAGTGTGTTTTTGTCGCATGAAAAATTTTCAAGCAACGACAAATTCGTGTATACGAGACGCGGAAGCGAAAATCGCATCGCAGCTCGTGACGTCACACATGACTACGCGAGAGTGAAAACGAGAAGTATTAAGTATGGGAAGCCGTTGGTATAAACCAGTGGCTCCTGTTATCAATTATAGGCATTTAAGAATATTTGTGGAGATTTCGTAGTTTATTTTGTTCAGGTTAGGTTTCAACTGTTTTATGTATATAAACTACGAAATATTTGTGGAGATACAGAGAACTGCTGTACAGTATGACACAAGGTTCCCAAACGGCCCTCCACAGGTTCTTAATTCAGAACTGTCCTTCACCTAGACCGGTTGCCACCCAAGGCTATAGAATCAAGTCTCTTCTGCCATTTACACATAGCTGGAGTGGGAGAGAAAAGAAAAAGATAGATTCATACGTTTCCCAAGGATATTAGCACGTGAATAAATGTAATGAATTGCAATTCGAACTCGGCTCTCCGCTTTCGCAATCAACCGCCCGTATGTGTGTGTGTGTATATATATATATATATATATATATATATAGCAAAATTCTCTTTTAGGCATGTCTGATTGAATAAATTTAAGACATTTTGTCTGCTAATTCTTCCTCTGTGCGCACATGACCATGACAGAAAAGAAATTCCATAATGGATAATTTTTTTCACGTTCTAATGAACACTCAGCACATTGTCAACCATTTTGCATTTAAAAGCATAATGAAAAAATTACAGTAATGGATAACAATGCAAAACTTTGTATAAATACTTATATTAATGAACAATATATAGTTTTGTATTACTTGCACCACTGAAGCAAGGTCGATTTTACTGTTTTTAAACTAGAATTTAAAAATTCACAATTTTAAAATCGACCTTGCTAACCGAAACGCTCCTCTGTGGCTAAATCGGTAAAGCACGTCAGGCTATATGACGGTTTCGTATAGGATACAGGTTCGATTCCTGTCAGGGGACGTACATTTTCTATAAAAATTTCTCGGACATTCAGGCCGGTAAATGTCGTTAATACTGTTTATTATAAACAGAACATTTACTTAAATATTTGTATCTATAAAGAGAACGAATAAACATAAAAAATGACTTTACATATATAGGATCCGGCAAAAATGTATACACACTTCAGAAAAGCAAAATTTGTCTTTCGTATTTTTTTTTAAAATTGTGATAATATTTACTGTAGTGTGATATTTTCTCGAAAGATAGCATTAAATTGGCGGTCCTTAGACAAGAAATTGAAAATGCATGTGGAGCAATTTCACTGGCCAACGTTGCCCAAACAGCAGTTCACCGGACTACTAAATATCTGCAAGATAAAGGTCCCCATTTTGAGCATCTATTGAGATAGTACAGTCCAAAGGTAACTTGTATTAATCTCCTGATGTCTAAATTAGTTTCTCCTTTCCTAAAATGTGTATACATTTTAGCGAAAACTCTATATATTAGGTCTCGTCTAAATACACATGGAAACCGATCAAACATACTCGTTGCTAATACAAACGTGATATCATCGTCAACATGTACAAATCAGTAAAAACTAGTGGATGCATTATTAATAAAAATGAAAAAGCTAGCATTCAATATTACGACTATGAACACGGCCACAATATGCTGACCGTGCTTGTAAAATGAATCATTCCTATAACTCCAGATACATACATAAAACAATTCATATATTCAGTTAAAAGTAAAGTAAAATCCATCCTTGCTAATGGCTAAATGTAGAGCCGAAAGCGCTTGGAAAACATTCGAATAATTTTTATATAATTTATATCCTGAAAAAGAAAAAAATTATACGAACATATGAGAAATTATATAAAAACTCAACCATGGCACCTAGTCAATCGTTTTGAACAAAACTTGTATGTATATATATATATATATATATATATATATATATATATATATATATTGGATAAAAGTATAGCCGAAAGCGCTCGGATATACAAATAATTTGGACAATTTTTGCATAATTTGTCTAGAAAAGAAGAAAATTATAAGAACATAAAGAGAAAATTAAATAAAAATCTTAACCGCGTTACCTTGTCAGTTGTATTAAATGAAACTTGCATAAAAGAGGGACTGCTGCCCAAATACAATACAATATATATATATAATATATAATAATAATAATAATAATAAAAATAAACACTAATATTCCCTGGTAATAATTTATTCCATTGGAATCATAAATACGATCCAAATCACAAATTCAAAAGGAAAACAGAAAAAATTCACTCCAGAAGTAAAAACAGCATTATTCTAACATTTAAATTGTCTATGGTGTGTGTATGTCACCACGAAATGTATCTTTATGCATTAGACATCCTTTAACATTCATTCTCTTCTCTTATTTAAAACCCTCCCCCCCCAACATCTCCTAAAAATTCTTTCTGTTAAGGTTCAATCTCCCTCCTCCTCATACTTACACTTTCTCTAAATTCTGTTTTTACTTCCAGAGTGATGTTTTTTTGGTTTCTTTTTGAATTTGTAGGTCTGATGATTTAGATCGTATTTACGATTCCAATGGAATAAATTATGGCCATGGAATATTAGTGTTTAAGACTTTTATTATATCCTTACTCTGTCCTAGACATTGAGTTCTACCAGGATTCTTCCTCTTGGAATTTTTTTTCTGAAAATATACATGTATGGGTATTTATATATTTTGCATATGTATGTATATTTTCCACTAATTTATATATATATATATATATATATATATATATATATATATATATATATATATATATATATATAGTCGACTCTCCAGTCGACTTCGACGTATGAGGGTCAAGCATATCAGTTCCCAGGAAACCGACAGCCCGACACCGGCACATGAGATTTGATTATAGTGGTGAAGGTTTCGTTTTAAGACCAGCAACACTTTTTGAAAAAATATATATATATATATATATATATATATATATATATATAATTTAGTCAAGTGCATTCCTTTTCATTCTGCGTATTAAACATTTGGTTTTGCTAGAAACAATGTTCCAGCATCACTGAGCAGATGCTGAAATTTCCGTCTATCAAATAAATTTTCTCTCAAGGTGATTCCTTGATTTGAAAATATATTGGGACAAGATCAATTCAGACATCAAGTGGAACTCATATATACAGTGATCCATGGCTGAATTATCGTCTAAATTACGCAAAATTGAAAATAACACTGACATCTCATTTTAACATATATTTACCAAAATTACACAAAAATACCTTGAAATACTAAAGGGTAAATTGATTCAATATGATCACCATTGGCCTCAACCACGGCCTCCAGACGACCTCGGAATCTCCTGTAACTCTTTTGGACGGTCTCCTTGTTTAAGTTGGTAACTGCTGCCATAATCCTTGCCATCAATTCATCGTTGCTGTTGCAAGGAGATTTGTTGGTCTCTCGCTCAACTGCACCCCACGCATAATAATCAAGGGTGTCGCAGTCTGTGAAGCTAGGTGGGCAGATGCAAGGGATTATATGCTCGCGGGAATTGTTTGACACCCAAGTCTGGGTTCGCCTGCTTGTCTGGTACGGAGCACATTCCTGTTACCTGACATAATATCATCCAGCAAAACACCCTCTTGACCCAGGCCAACATCATGGTTGAGAAAATTGTCTCATGGTGCTCTTTTTCTCACAGACGGTGCAGTCAACCAAATAAAAAAAAATAAAAAAAAAAACAACGCGCACGTGCGAAATTAAAACTTACTCTTCATATATATATATATATATATATATATATATATATATATATATATTGTTATCCACAGACAGACTGTTTCGCCGTCCTGGGTAAGACGTTAAATTATATCTGCTTCCTGGGTAAGACGATAAACTACGTCCAACATCAAGGCCTCTGATCAGGAGGTTTTGAGGAGCGTGGAACCACCTCTTAATTGCTGCTGTTCCCAGGTCCACCCTGACCCGGGGTGGTAGCACCTGTTAGGGTCCCAGCTATGGACAAATAGTTAACTATTGCCAGCAATACTTTTTTGAAAAAAAATACAATTTTGAAGGAAATATATTACCAGAAACAGATTTTTGACTAAAAAATGTTACCAGCAATAAAATTGAGGTTGA